CCTCTATGATGTGTTAAAAAACCGCAAATTACGAACAGCACAAAGACAAACTGTTTTCCTTATACAAATTTCTTATCTGTGAAAATGTTATTATTACATAATAATAACATCAAATTCGATTTTATTATTACATTCAAATTTCGAACATCTCTGAAAAACAAATCATTTTGATTCGACCTCAATTCTAATATCAGTCGAGATCATAGATTTAGTATATAGGTACCTAAATCTATGGTCGAGATGAAGTTTTATTCGAAATGAAATGTCAATAGAAAACAAATTTCACACGTTACTTGATATCGAACGATATGATAGTCGGGGCCGACTCTAATTTGTCTACGAATTAAATAAAAACTACGGTTGTGTGACAAGCGTGAGAAAAATTTTTACGCCATTCGTAACATGCGGTTCCTAAACACATTATAGAGATCTTATAATACATCGAGTATATAACCAGAAATAGAGACGAAATAAGGGCCTTATAGTCCTGGTAACTCATTAGCGATACAGCTCTTATAAATATCAACTCTCGTTTGCACTGAAATATAAACAGGCCAACTACTGACCTGTGTGTACGTCTCCGTATATTCCAAAAAATATTCTGTATTTATATGTATCTGTATGTAATAAAGATATCTCTAACAATGCCGTGCTGTTCAATTCGGTGGTGTGGGAAAAACAGCAAAACATCTAATTACAAAACAAACGGAATCACATTTCATCGGTAATTAAATATTAAATTGTAATTTTGCAAGTTTCGTCCATTATAGCAAAGTTCAAGTTAACTGGAAAAAAAAAATAAATGACATTGAAAAATTTAATGACATTTCGTCTCTATTTCTGGTTATATACTCGATGTTATAATACGTGTATAGATAACTCGTGTGATAGACCCACACTCGTGTTTTGAATTATGAAATTACTCCAGTTGTTTGTTATAATTATTAATACAAAAATTGTTAAAAACCAGAAACAAAGATCACAACAAGCTCATAGAAAAATTCGTAAAATGCGCAACTAAAAAAAAATAAGCAACGGAACGACTAGTTCGTTGGTAACCGTCTTGCACGGTTTGCTGGAAGACGTTGGTAATTTTTCAGACAGATCGAGGGATTTTTTTCTAAATCAGAATCAAATCAAAATTCATTTATTTCAGACAGATACAGTCCATATTCTTATAATAGTTACACAATTATGTATGTAGTCCCATCAGGATCTACCAATATTCAAAAACAAAAAGGACAAGTCCTCAAATTGAAGGCGAATGCAGTCTCAAGCAATGAAGCATGATCGGGCAGTAACCAGCCACAACGCGAAGAACGTCATTTGAGCCACAGATACGGCTTAGCAACGAGGCAGCTCTCTTTCTAAAAATAGCACGAAAACCATCCGTGTGAGCCTCTGCGAACATGCCTGATGCGCTGCAGTACCGCGGCAACCCCAGCAACACTCTAAATGCGTTGTTGTACTGAATGCACAGGGCGTTAATTGTCTTCTGCGAACAGTTGAGCCACAGATTACACTTATAAAAAGTTTGTCAGGATGCCTTGAAAAGTATCACTTTAACAGGTACTGTAAATCGGGCAAATCTGCGAGCCAACATATCGCTTCTAACGGCCAACGCCCTGCGCTCTCTCTCAACATCCTCATTATCCGTGTGGTTCTCCGAAACCCAGTGAAATCAACACTATTCAAATAGACGGGTGGTAAGGTGATCCTGTGACCATGAGACTGAAACATCATGAGTTAACTTTTTTTACAATCTAAGGCCATGGGCCCCAGCGTAATCATCACATATCTTCAGTAGTTTCCTCAAGGCGCTTATCGAGAGAGCCAGCAAAACCATGTCGTCTGCATAATTAATGTTATTTATAAATTTACCATCTATGGAGCAGCCGACCTGAGCCCTGCTCAAGTCCTTTACAAGTCCTTTAACATATAAGGTAAAGAGGTCAGGTGAGGTTAGTTCTCCACACTGCACACCCGCATACCGCAGGTGCTCAACAGTAAGTCCATCGCGCCCAGGGGACTTTCCCTTATTCATTTTTTTAATTACAAAGGCAACTTCTTTTGCTGTGAACTTAGTTAATCTAAGTGTTTGATCTTTGTATTATTAATTATACTTAGTGTATATTAATAATTTGACTTACAGACAGCATATAGAATATATAGTATATATTCAAAATACCAATTGTTGATATAATAAACATGTAGACGCAATGGTTAAAACATTTTTTAAACACACGTATGTACCTGAGTAAAATCGATTATTCGCACTGTTAGTGTAATGATGGCAAATCTGCAAAATTACAACTTTGCAGGTGAGACGTTTGAAGATTCTACGGACGAAATTAATCGATGACTTTTTTATATTTAAATAGAGTTATAAAAATGTTAATTAATTCAAAATAATTTTTATGAATTTCATGTGATAAAAGCACGTGTGTTAAATTCCAAAATATTCAAGGCACAAATCATAAGAAACCTGTATTCTGGATTTTTTTTTATGTAAAGAAGAGGCAAACAAGCAGACGAAACAAGAAGCCACTTGATGAGAGGTGGTTATCGTCGCCCATTGACATTTGCAACATCAGATGAGCTGCCTATGCGTTGTCAGCCTTTGAGAGCCCTGTAAACACGTTTTTTGAAGAACCCCATTTCGTAGTGCAAAGGAAATACTTCAGGAGGAACATCATTCCACATCTTGCAGGTTCGACGAAGGAACGAACGAGATGTCCGCGTGATCTTACA